ACTAGGGCTCGGTTAAAATGATCAATACTTATACTTTGATATTATTATACACTTAGAAAAATATTCTAAGTATAAAAATACCAATGCTTGGCCATGCTCGGAATTTACCTGAAAATTTACTCGGAACCAAACTAGGGTTCGGAGTCGATAAATTCTCAAATTGACATGCTATTATTTATCAACCCAAATTAATGGATTAATCTTAACTTATACTTGAGATAGAATTATTCAAAGAATAATTTATCATGTTTGAGCATTTAGCATAAATAATATAACTCGATAATTTCTAAAAATTACAGATTTCACTTATAGTCGAGCAGTGAAGTCGTTCTGAATATTATTACTGTTTTGGGGCGTTACATACAATTATGCGCGTTTGGTTATCGGAGGAACACAAGCATGTTCGCGAACTTAACGAGAGTTCGCGAAGAAGGCTGTATTTGATAAATATTTATATTATATATAAGACATATATGATAATATACATGATATAATATTCAATAATTAATATTATTGAGTACTTTATATGGTATTGAGATAAAAAAAATAACCTGCTACTTCCAAACAAAGACCTCAATCTCCAAAATCCCCATTCTCGACTCTTCAGCCTCTCCGCCGTCGGCTCTTCAGCCTCTCTCCCGTTCGTCAGTCATCGGCATCTTCGCCTCTTCTCAAGCTCCAAACAAAGATCCCAATCCCCAAAGTCCCAATTCCCTGCTCTTCGCCGTCGTGTCTTCAGCCTCTCTGCCGTCGGCACTACAGCCTCTCTGCCGTCGGCTCTTCAGCATCTCCGCCGTCGGCTCTTTAGCCTCTCTGCTGCTCCTCGCCTCCTTGGCCTATCCGCTGCTTCTGAGTCATCGACCTCTCCACCACTCCTCAGCCTCCCCGACCCATCCCCGAATACTTTACCCTTCGTTTCTTAGTGCAAGACATATCTCAAATTGTAAGTTTCTTTAAACTGTGTATATATCGATTTTGTACCTGCGTATCTATACCATCTTTAATTCTTGATTGTGGCTATATCTATACATGTTTTATCTACCTGTGTATATCTATACATGTTTTATATCGACCTGTGTATATCTATACATGTTTTATAGCTTTTTTCCCTTTCATCTTTTTCTCCCGTTTCATGCTCTATCAGTTTGTATCATTTATCCAGATTATGAATTAATTGAGGATTAATTGAGTTAATTCAGTCTCATCAATAATTTAAGCTGACATACAATTTCTGTTGATGGAGATTATGAAGAACATAATTGTGTGTTGGATTGTTTGTTCTTCATAATTGTCTTATCATGAATTGTTTGTTCTTCATAATTGTTAGATTAATTTAGTCTTATCATGAATTGTTTTTTCTTCATAATTGTCGGATTAAACATAATTGCGTGTCTGATTATGGTGTTATTTTTCTTTAATTCTGTCTATCATTTGGTATCGATATCAATTTTGTTGATGCAACGATAAATGGGCATTTGATATTTTTTACGTTTTAAATTATGAACACAGAATGGACAAGAGTTAGATGCGTGCTATCAAGTGGTCGGACGCTTACATAGACGGGGTAAACACGTTTATGGAATGTGTGGAAGCTCATTTTGGGAGGGATTGTGAAATTCGTTGTCCATGTACAGATTGTTTGAACTTATCTATAAAAGGTCAAATGACTGTTAAAAATCACATTGTGATGCGCGGGATAGATAAAGGGTACACTACGTGGTTTTATCATGGTGAACCGAGCTCAACTCAGCGAGTGCAAGTTAATGTGGATGATAAACTTCATTGCGGGTCATTGGAACAAAATGATGAAGAATATGAAATTGATGGTGTCGATTTCATGTTGTCTGACCTGGGGGAGCAGTATTATCCAGATACACATGAGAATAATAACAGAAATACAGGTGGTGTTCCTCAATATCTGGAAGCATTGATAGCAGATGCTAAAGCGGAGTTATACCCTGGATGTAAGAAAATCTCCAAGACATCTTTTATTATCCAATTGTTGCACTTGAAAGTTTATAATAAGTTGAGTAATAAAGCTATAGATATGTTATTAAAGTTGATAAAATTATCACTACCTGATGGTGAGACACTTTCAAGTTCTTGTTACGAAGCTAAAAAGTTTTTGAGAGATCTGGGATTAGGATATGAATGCATCCATGCCTGTAAAAATGATTGTGCCTTATTTTGGAATGAGAATAAAAATCTTGAGAATTGTCCTATTTGTGGAGCCTCTAGGTGGAAAGTCAACGATGGTGTAGGAAAGAAGATACCACAAAAGATTTTAAGGTATTTTCCCCTAAAACCTAGACTCCAACGCCTTTTTATGTCTAGGAAAACATAAAAAAAAATGGTGTGGCACAAAGAAAAAAGAATTGATGATGAATATATGAGGCATCCAGCGGACTCCCTTGCATGGAAAGACTTCGATAATGAGTTTTCTTGGTTTGCAAAAGATCCTAGGAATGTTAGACTTGCTCTTGCTGCAGATGGTTTTAATCCATTTGGAAACTTAAGTACCACTTACAGCATGTGGCCAGTAATTTTAGCTCCATTAAATCTCCCCTCTTGGGATTGCATGAAACAGCCGTTCTTCATGTTATCTTTGCTAATCCCTGGAAAAAAGTCACCTGGCAAAGACATTGACGTCTACCTACAACCATTAATTCAAGAGTTGAAATGGGTTGATGGTGCAGAAACCTTTGACGTTTTTCGGAAAGAAACTTTCAATTTACATGCTGCTATATTGTGGACAATCAATGACTTCTCAGCATACGGGGATCTGTCAGGGTGGAGCACGAAAGGTTACATGGCATGTCCTGCTTGCAACAAGCAAACACATTCTTTGAGGTTGCGCAGTAAGATATGTTATATGGGACATCGATGCTACTTACCTAAAGATCATCCTTGGAGGAGAAGTAGAAAGTTCGATGGAAAAAGAGAAGATAGAGAAGCACCTAAATATTTAACTGGGGAAGATGTGTTAGCGCAGTTACAGGGACTACAAAATATAACACCAGGGAAGCATAACTGTAAAAAAAGAAAGCGGCAACCTGAGGAGTTAAATTGGACTAAACGTAGCATTTTGTTTAGTTTACCTTATTGGAGTAAGTTGAAATTAAGGCACAACTTAGATGTAATGCATATTGAGAAAAATATATGTGAGAGCATATTAGGAACGTTTGTAATATCTCTCTCAGTTATTAAGAAAGTAACAGTTTTAGTTCCAAGATTTAGGTAATTTCGAGACCAAGATATGCAGTTATTGGTTCGAAATTAAGAGTTGATCAAGGAACTAGCCACACGAGTCGTGTGAAGTGCCAAACGAGTCGTGTGAAGCCACACGAGTCGTGTGAGAGGTCACACGAGTCGTGTGGGAGGTTAAGGTGATGAAAGTTAGCTTCGGCTTTTTCACACGAGTCGTGTGACATAGCCACACGAGTCGTGTGGTGTCACACGAGTCGTGTGACTAACCACACGAGTCGTGTGAGGTCACACGAGTCGTGTGACATGCCACACGAGTCGTGTTGCCGACAGTTTTGTATGATCATTGAGAGTCCGATTGTGATCTCTACCAAAGGCTCTTTTTGATGATTATTTACGTTTTTGATGTGTAGACAAGTTAAGCATAAAATATTTTATGATTAAATAAGTTTATAAGTTTAAATTAATTATTATGATCATTTATTCACTCCATTATGATGTATTGCCAATTTGTGCCTATAAATAGAGGCCTAAAACTCAGAGTTTGTACACCAAATAAAAGTACCAAAAGTTGTATAAGAGTGAAAGTGATACCAAAAGTTATATAAGAGTGAAAGTGAGAATAAGTAGTAGAAACTTTGGAGAAGTGAAGAATTTGAAGTAAAGAATCAAGTTTTTACTCTAGCAAGAAGGAGGTAATTTACTTATCTTAAAGTTACATGCTTAAGTTCATGTTTTGATAATGAGTTTACATGTTTATAAGTATGTATATCATGATGTAGAAGTTAAGTTTATAATTGATTCTATGAATATAAAGTGTTAAAGTTGTTCAAGATCAATTATATGATATATGTGCTTGATTTGATGAGATGTTGATAAAGATATGAATAAGCTGGAGAAGTATGATTTAAATGAATGATTCTTATGTGAAAGAGGAGTACATGAGAACAAGAATTAAGTGATTTGGCAAAGTATAGCTTGAGTTATGAATTTTTGAAGATGAACATATATGATGAAGTTTATGTTCACTATTGAATTTAAATTCTCATAACTTGATGAATATGCATGATAAAATTATGAAATTTTGATGACATTTCTATTTATAAGTTGAGATTATGACTGTTAAGTTTCATAATTTAAAGATGAGAAATGAATAAGTTATGAGTATAAGAAAGCATATATGTAAAGATAAGTATATATGCAAGGTTTAAGTTGTTAAAATGAGATTATCATGAGTAATTCTCATATAAGTAATGAGTAATTTGATGATGTTTTAGTATAATATGTTGAATATATAATCTTATAAAGATTATATTAAGTATGACATATTAATATCATGATTAAAAGTGATGATTTGGAAGATGATTATAATTGAGTTTATTTTCACTTTCAAGTTATTTAAGTGAAAAGTGAGTATAAGCCAATATCTATAAATTGGGAGATAAGATGTATGATGGATTAAGTACTTGATTGAGTTAAAGATCAAGATGAATTTATATATCATGATGATGATGTTAAAAGTTAAGTATGTTTAAGTACTTAATCAAGTATAAATGTGAAATATAGTTATTTTCACATTTGAGTTATGACATGATAAGTTTAATACCATATTGATGTTTATGAAGACATGATTTATAAGGTTAAGTAATTGACCTTGAGTAAAAGATAAAAGAAAAGTTAAGTTAAGTATTAACTTGAGAAAGAGCATGTTAATGAATTTCTATAAGATTGGATGAGTTAAGAATCCTAAAATCTTATTGAGTATACGAGCATAGTACTTAGTATATTTGTTTATATTTGATGTAACTTGCAGATTCCGTTACAGCACAGCACTTATCGATTTACAAATGATTTCAAAGACCAAAAGGTGGGGACCCTGAACGGGTATCATATTGAGTACGATATCGATAGAGTTGGGATGAGGAGACCATCAGTTGTCTCAGAGTATATCCTAAGTAATGATTATACGCTTGGGATGAGGAGGCATTAAGTTGTCTCATGAGTATATCCTAAGTTCTGATGGAGGCCGCCGAGTTGCCTGAGAAATATCCATTAGAATGTGCACATGTACTTAATCAGAAGAGAAAGAGAAAAGTTTAAGTTTAAGTACCAGAACGGATTTCTGGTTACCGATCAGATATTGGTATATGATTATCTTTATCGTTACTCAACCCCATGAGTTTTAGTTTCAGGTGACAGGTCGAAGAGAAGGTATGAGTGGAGCAGTGTTGGTGTGGATCGTGGATTCAGATGACGACAAGCTTATTATGGACATTTATAACAGTCTGTAAAATTAACTACGTTTTCAAGTAATTCCGCTACGCACATTGAATATTGAACTTACATTTTAATGAATTTATGATTTGAAGTTTTTACCAAAGTGAGAAGTATGAATATGGTTAAATGCAAGTTTAAAGGAAATCTGTTTCTTTATGTCTAAAAGAAGTATTAGACAAAGTTTAAAGATAAATGGATTTTCAAGATGATAAGGTTGAGTAGCATCCCGAGTTATTCGCAAAATATTTCGAAAGAGATATAAGTAATTTTGAAGTAAAAGTTGCGAAAAAGTTACTCTGATAAGCGGGGTGTTACAGGTGGTATCAGAGCTAGAGTTTTAAGAGCTCTGTATACTAAAAGTTTAAGTATTTGAAAGAAAGATTTTCAGAAAAGTCAAAAATCTTTACAGAAAGTGTCAAGGAAACCCGACCACACCTCGCTG